CACAGTCACCGTCTCTGCTCTTGAGTAAATGGTGGACATCTTCGCTTGCGATCGTCGAACTAACACACACTATTACCAATGAGTAAGGATTCCCGACGGCATCCGAAACGTTAGGAAAATAGAGCTTTTGTTCCAGTGGTCGCATCTTAGTCTCCCCCGCTTTGTCGGCGATACTATCTGCCTATAAATTTTCCTATCCTCATATCTTACGGCAATAGTGTTTTGCACCGAAACGTATTAAATTAAATTGTATTTTTTGAATGCTACTTATTATTGCGTGGTCATCATACTTAATTCACCAGGTATGCTATAGGCAACGCTGAGCACCAGCACATGGAACCCAAGATTGGTTGGCTGTCTACGCTGGCCGAGCAGACACGACAGTTTTACAACTCCAGTCCCTGTTCTGGCCCTTCGCTGCAGACAAAGTACATAACTGCGCTCTACTTCACCTTCTCCAGCCTAACCTCCATCGGTTTCGGCAACGTCAGTCCCAACACCAATGCAGAGAAAATCTTCTCAATCATAATTATGCTTGTTGGCTGTAAGTTAGAACTCCAGTAGCGATGGTTGTTGACAGCACCCTCTTGTTCGTTGTTTGTTTACTTGTCTTCCTTCCTTCGTACCAATGTCCCTAAAGTACACTAAAACGCCAACAGCAAGACCCTTTGTCTGCTCGCATTGTTTGTTTAATTTGGATAAGCGTAATGCTTTTTTCTTCAGTTGACCCAATGGTGAAAAATGCATGGCCTCGGTGGGATTCGAGCCCACAGCAGCAGGGAAGGCTTTACTGCAGCCGACGCTCTACCAATTGAACTAGGAAGGCACGCTGGAAACCTTGAATTTAATCACACTTTAGTCGATTGACCCGCCCAGCCTACTTCACTTATGCAATCCATCGATACGAATACAGTAAGCTGACAGGATTGGCAGGAGTTTCCTTGGTGTTGGTCTTGGATACAACAAGCCGTTGGTTGTTTTCATACGGTAACCGTGAGAAGGGTTTTTTTAAGTTGATAAAACT